CGTTCTGACTGGTTGCTTCGTTGTGTGAATCGACACTGGAAGAGATGATCCAGAAAAACCTGTATAGCGAAAAGTTTATTCTCGTCTGCTGTTGACATGCAAAAGTGACGGTGCCCAATAAAATACTGCAGGCTACGGGTTCATTGCCGCCATTCGTTTGGCAAAAGTTAAACCGCCATTTCAGCCACCAGATGGCACTGAATTTCGGAAAGGGTCTATTATGCATACAAGAGGTAAATCGGCCCAACAAATGTGATACGATATATTAGCTTCTGAACGCCAAACACGGCTGCCAAGGGTTTTATTATGTTTATATAGATACAGTAAAAGTGAAGCACTTTAATTGTCAACCATTTTGTCGTTTACCCTGAGACTGGGTTTTTTTTAGAAGAGCAGAAGTAACAGAAAAAACAGACAGGTCTCTGTTTTTTCTGTTACTTCTGCTCTTCTAAAAAAAACCCAGTCTCAGGGTAAACGACGAAATGGTTGACTTCCACCAGCTAGCCTGTACTTTGACTCTTTTCACTTTAATTGTGATAGTGCTACAACAAAAGTCAGAGGTTGGTCGCGGGAGGCCCGTCAGCGAGAAGTGAACAGTTTGAACAATACATAATGTATATTTGTTTTAGATGTAATAGAGAACTTCACAGGCGTCGAAAAAAATATTCCGAGAATTTCCACAGCAGTTAAATCGAGAAACGTTTACGCAGTTTAAAGGCGGTGCACAATGTTATGGAATTTCGACATTCATCTGTGCAGCGAGTTCGGCCACATTTCTTTTCCTTAGTATTAATTTTTTGCGTTGACCTTTTTTTTTGCCTAAGAAGAAGTTGACGTAAGCTTTTTTTACGGAAAAGGATAAAAGCATAACACCCGTTTCGAAACTTGTGTGACATTCACTGTAAACGCGTCGAATAATCATTTTAAGGACTCGGAAACGGCACCGTCTGGCAGTGACGTGCCTAACCCCTCCCCCCCCCTCCCCCCCCCCCCCCCTGTTTTTGTTTTCTTTCTGACTACGAGTAGCGCTCATAACCGCTTGGATACAAGTATTTTTTATATGGATGTTGATGGCATTACAGAACGTTACTTATTGGCGACGTGCGCGACCGAAAGCGTCGCTGTGGTCGGCCTTCCACGATTGGCCCAAAAGCTGACTATGACGTCGGAAAGGGTATACCATCGACGGAAATAAGAGGAATGAAAGAACTTTAATTTCGACGCTGTTGGCAGTGTTGCTTTAATAATTTATAATTATTAATAATTATATTTATATTATTAATAATTAATTTTAACAATTAATAAAGAGAATAAAATTTTAAGATTGTTTCCAATTCATTTTCTTATATATTCCAGTACGAAAATTTTAAAGGAGAAGACAACTTCCTCGTCGTCAAGAACACAGAAGGCAAGAGGCAGGACCAAGCGGAACAACAATTAATAACTTAATACCAAAAGAAAAAAACGAAACACAAATACTCATAATTGCTCGCAAGATTCTCCAAGTTCGTTCCAATGCCACCGTTCAACTGTCTCCCTGTTTTCCTTTTTAATTGGCTTTAAGGACTAAAGAAACGTTTCGTCAATTACGGCCCTCATTTTTTATATTATATTGGATCAAACCTGTCATACCGTCAGGTGGTGCAGGTAGAGAGAAACAGTTTATTTTTTTTTATCTCTCACTTAGAAATTGAGTAATTGAGTGTTGCTTTGAGAGCGCAATGATTTCAGGCTTCCACCATGCCCAGTACAAACACCAATGAACTTGTTGTTAGCAAGGTAATGACTTCACAAGGGGGAACCATAGGAGGGCGCCACCAAAACATCTCGCCGCTAATACCGGCACTACGACGCGAACGCGTGCGCAGAAGTCATTTACAAATGCGGGGTTTGGCTCCGTTGTTTAAGCTGGTTCACAAATCGATATATATATATATATATATATATATATATATATATATATATATATATATATATATATATATATATATATATATATATATATATATATATATATATATATATATATATATATATTTATTGTGAGGGTGTTTTGGGGACAAAGAATAAGCAGGCGGAGACGACGGTTTGTCCAGCCAAGACTAAATCTATTCTGAAAGGCTCGTGCAATCACGCCTCAGCACGCGCGGTTCCTCGGGCACTTCGGCTCCCAAGTTGGCAGCGCTCATCGCGCTACTTGGTCGCCGCAATATATATGTATATAATGGGCATGGTGGCCGGGGCCGGAGGCGTAGATATTACTGAAAAGGAAGGAAAAAAAAACAAACAAACAGCAACAACCGATGGTTATTTGGCCGGATTCCGGCTGGAACGTCGGAGCAAGATACAAGATAGGGTGTTATAGTTTATATTGTGACGGGTAGTGACCAAAAGAACAATAAATAAACAGGAAGAAATAAACGTTTAATGTGGCTAACTTGTGCCCAAAACAAAAAGGAAACAGACGATAACAACAGAGCGTCGCGGGCGTCGAAGTCGGCGGGCAGCAGGATCAAACGCAGGGGCGAGACTGACTCAGCCCGCCTTGCGGAGACCCTTATGTACCTACCCTCTTTGGTTTCTGGATCATTCGACGTAGAACTGTCGGTGCGTAGAACAACCGGAACACGATCAGGCGTGAATGTTGTCGAAGTTACGAGAAGGCCAAGTTGAAAGAATAAATAAAATGACAGTCCGGCGACTGGAATCGAACCTACACCTTCCGCGCGACAGTCAAGCGCAGTAACAACTCGGCCACGCACGCGCTTGCTCGCCAGTGCCGCCCGTCGCCGCCGCTGACATTCTCGTTAATTTTCCGCCGTTTCTCTTCGTAGGCGCATTTCTCCTCGGGAGTCCGGACAACAAGTGGACATTACGACGAGAGAAGAGAAGGGAAATTGAAAATGGAGCACGACAATTTGTCTTTCTGGTTTTTCATATACATTCGCGTGGACGACTATCGCCACCCAGAAGAGCCAAAGGTAACTAGACACGCGCGACGGGGCCGCCACCTGGGAAGAGCGGAAGGAAAGGAAATTAGGCACGCAAGCGGCTTGTAACGACGGCAAAGGGCGAGCTGTGCGAGCGTAGAGTTTTTGGTCACGCACACGAAAGAAAAATCCACGGAACCCTAGCCATGAAGAGCTTTGCTGTAAAAAAAGCGATCCTTGTACTATTACGTTTTCTCCAGCAACTTCGGAGGTATTTTTTGGCGCAAGTCACCAGCTCACCCCTATATTTCCTAATGCTATCAGACTAGGAAGGTCTGTGCACTCGAAAGTTTTATTCCATCATACTACGACCAAATCTTTCCACTTTTTTTTTTTTTTTTTTTTTTTGTGAAATAAAGGTAGATCGATTGATGGATATCTGGAAAAGTTTTCTGCTGGGTTTCGAATTCCATAATAGTGTCGACGTCGGACGGACATTCGGAGTCGGAGTCCAGTGTAACGGCGTTTCATAAGAAATGCGAGGAAGTAAACATGTTTAGATTTGTCTAGATTGTGTTTAATTTTTTATGATGTAATTAATTCAGTTCACAAATCATACAAGGTAGCATTCCGTTTTTATGTTACTGTGAGGTTTCATTACTGTCGTTTCGTAATTTTGGAGCTTCCTTTTGATATTTTTCTCTACCTTGTGGCAGCGAGGATCGGCCACCACGGCCAGGGGCCGCTGCTGACCACCCAGATTGGAGGATGTCCGGTTCGCGCAACAGCGCAGGAAGGACAGGCGCGAGAAGATATAAAAGAGGGGACACGCCCAAAGAAGACGGGGACGGATCGAGGGAACGGAGACGCGTAGGTCGAATGCCCGGCATTGTTATACTTCCCTACTAACAACCCTTTGCTGTTACTTTAATAAATGTAATTTCTTGTTTTGAGAACCCCGGCTTCGTTTGTTCCTCCCGGATGGGCGTGCAGCAAGGCAACCCTACCACAACCTCCATATTCCCATGTGCCGCTGGGCCGGTGATTCGGTTGTTACATGCTTTATTAACAACATTTGTTGGGATTACTGGTTATAGTTACTTAAAACTGACTTCATATTCTCAAGCTGTCACCTGAAATAACATTAAAATTTATTTAACACTGTCTTGTGACAAGCCATTGACCCAAATTATAAGTAATTGTTGTAATGCTTTTCAGACGTGAGCAAAATGTGTAGAGATTTCTTTCGTTATTAAAAGGCCCCTGAAAAGAAAAAAAAAAAAATTTTAAGTCTGGTTGGGACACGCGTGTCAAAAAAATTAATATTACGCGAAAAAAAAGAAAAAAAAGAAAGAGAAATATTGACGGCGCGAGACGCGATTTAGTCGGCAGTCACCCTCTTTCCGCTTGTTTTCTCTCTGGGCATTTCGGGCGCGTGGAGGAGAGGTGCATCGGCTTCACGACCGAGATGGTCATTCCGGAGTGACCAATGACGTCATGTATTTAGCGGGCAGAATTTAAAATAAATCTCTCGCCGTCAATATTGCTCTAAATTTTTTTCCGCGTAAATCTTTTTTTTGACACGCGTGTCTTAATTAGACTGTTAAAATATTTTTTTCTTTTAAGTTTTTTTTAAATTAATTATCATTATCTTACGGGAGGAGGTATGACTCGTGCCTAATTTTCCTTGTTTATGAACCAGACCCTTCCGTCTTTTTATCGCAAACCTTGTGAATATTCCATCGCTATTAGTTTCGGTATGTCCAAGACGATTGTTGATCAAAACAGACCTGATGCTAACCAATCGCTAGCAGCGAGCAAATAAATAAAACACAAAAAACTGCGTTTCTTCTTTTTTTTTTTTTTAAGCTCCTTGCCTTCCAGCGACTTACGTAGTACGCCCAAGCTTTCTGAGTATGTGGAATTTTACATTTTATACAGAGAATACAGGCGCCATGTTTCTATTCTTTTGAGCTATATATATATATAGAGAGAGACAGAGATGGTTTGAGCGAAACTTCAGGCTTCGACAGTTTGTTCGTTTTTCGGGCTCTCAGAAATTAACGAACGATGTTCGTGTTTCTTTTTCAGCTGACTTTCGCGGTGACGGCCATGGGCGAAGTTCTAAATCCATTAACGACTATAGGATTTCCACGACAAGAACCTCCTTTCTACATTAATGACAACGCGTCTGACTACCAGAATATGACGGATGTGAGTAAATTACTTTCTTAATTCGTTGCGACACCTCGGTTGACAAACCTTATTTCTGGCGTATTATACGTTCGATCGATTAGCTTTAAATAACATGTGTTCTCTCATGTCTATCTAAACGCGCACACTAAACGAACTCAGGTGGTACTGAGACGCACTGTGGCCGTCATGTCTACATGCACACTGATCAAACCAAGCCCTACGGCCTCAGGTTGAATATTTATGTTGCCTTATTTGTAATCATGTTTAACAATCGTTATTCTTGAAAAGGGGAAGGGGCTTAATTAGAACGATATACCATAGAGATTACAGGCGTGCTAATATGTGCGCTACAAGGACACCGGTACGAGTACGCGTATTGTAAGAATTGCCGCCAAGCAATCTCCAAAGGTCAATAAGGCATGAAATAAATTATTGTAAAAGATAATCTTTAAGGTTGTCTGAAAGACTTTAAAAAGTTGTCTAAGGGAGCGAAGAACGGATTGTAAATTGAATGCCATCGCCTTCCTCTGCAACATCATCATGCACAGAGTATCGGCGTGGGGTAACTTGTAGTAGGAGACGTAGGGCAGAGCACGCAGCTTAGCCGGTATATACGTAGGTCGTCGCTATGCTGGCTCAGAGGAAGAGCATCGAGCTGCGGCCCGACAGGTTCTGAAATCCAATTCCAGGTGGTTTAATTAGTTTGACTATAAAAAGATTAGTTAAACATCAGTTTAACCCTCAGAAAGTACTTTTGTACATTGTTTTGTTTATGATGATATGGTAACAGAACCCGTTGTGCTGACATGCTTTGCAACTTACGCATCATGCGCTTAAGCGCTGACTCTCGATGGACGGACGGACGGACGGTAGGTCAAATTCATGGGAGCATAAATTTCGTTAAAAAGAATTCCATGCGTTCTCATGTATGAACTCATCATGCGTGGTCTAATTCCTCTTTGTATGTTTTCACCCACCATGTCTCGAAAATCATCATCAACTCTCTCATAAATGAAAAACTAGATTTCGAAGAGCTTGTGCACTCTTTGATTGCTTTTTAGTATGTTTGTATTTTCTTCGTGTACTACTATATTATGCAAGCATGGGCCAATCTGATTATGCATCTAACTAAATGAACCTATTGGTAGAATCGACAAATTAAGATTACTACACTCCAAGAAATCTGGGGCGACTACTTTCCCTTAAAGGACTTGGAGGAGCGAATCGCTGTAATCTACGCAGAAAGCTCGGCGAATGACGAGGATAAACTGATCTATAGGCATAAAAAAACTAAGCTGTGAGACTGAGCACGTTTTGTCGTGCTCATTGTCAAAACGTGGCCTGTTTTTTTTTTTAAGTCTATGGACGTTTTTTAGGCAGCTGGGCATGGGCGCCGCCATAAACGTCCTTTAGTTTTTTTTCCCCTTCTTATTCCGTTTACTTCACTTCATCTTTACCACAAAAAGACAGGTTATTGACACTTTAGATGCTACTGTGTCCTTCTCCCCAGCATAGGACTTTGTAAAGGCTCATCAACGACCGCTTCAATGTCTCGGCGTCTTACTAAGGCAAGAGAAGGTCGGCAATGGCGGCGCAACCTGGCGCGTGATTAAAGCGTCTATACATAGACCTCGTCATTCGCCGAGCTTTCTCTGTAGATTACAGCGATTGGCTCTATAAAGTTATTTGCGAGAAAGTAGTCGCTTCAGATTTTTTGGAGAGTAGGTCGTGGTTAGCCTCAAGTGTTTCATTGAAGCGCCAACATACGGCAGAAATCTCCGGTAGGAACAAACAACACCGGCTGCGAAGTTACAAATGTCGCCAACTGGCTACGTCTGGTCATTCCTTAAAGGGGTTAAGACACAAAAATTAAACGGGTAGATTATTTTTGAAATGAAATTCCAATTGGCTACATAGCATGTACACAAAGTTTCGCACTTTTAGAGCTCTAGTAATTAAAATAATCATTTTCCGAATGTTGATAATTTTATCTGGCTAGCAGGCAACACTGCCCAAGTTAGTCCCACCATGGTGCTCATAAAAACGGGATCTCGCACGCGCTCTCATTCTGGGCGCTCCCACGATCGCTCAAGCTCGCCTCGCCACGGTACGATCAAAACCAATCACGGATCTCGGCTACCCCAACGCCATTCTCGATATTGCCCTGGTCCTTTGACCTTCCATCCTGCATGCACCTGCAAGATTGCCACGGGCGACAGCGACCACGGCAAGTTCGTCCACTATTCTTCGTCTTTGAAGCTGGTCGCCAATGGGTCGCAGTTAAAATGACCAGCTCCCTACATCTCTTGATAGCAATCACACTCATCGCTGCTGCGAACACAGTCGAAGACTTCGACGAAGTGAGCAATGCCGTAGACGTAATCGTCACGAACCGCATGCTAGAAACGTGGAAGGTAAACAAGGAAGATGAAGCTCGAGACGCCAAGACAGACTGTGAGTAGTAGGGGGCGTCGCGCGTCAAGCAACCGACGTCACCAGCCCAGTAACCACGGCGGCTGTTTCAAAAAGGGCGGATTCGAGGGTCCTCTCTATAAATCAATTTTTCCACAAAGCTATCGCGCCATTTTCAAAGCAAATTTACCAGAAATATAGGAACATACAATGGGTCCTAGCAGTGTAGTTACCTTATATTTTATTTTGTGCCTCTCCTAACCCCTTTAATACTGTCTACCACTACAAAGCACCAGTGCCTAGTTGAAAGCATGTGTGGAGTCATACTTTCAAATAAATTCCATGAGCGATATAAGAGGTATTGATATTTATGGGCTCGTAATCTATTCTATTTTCAGCTCATCGAGACCGGAGAGAAGCAATACATTTATTACAGGTCTTACGACAGAGATCCCCTTTTTGGAAATGCAGGGAAGTGCCCCTATTTAATGCGCAGACCAAGAAAACAACCACCTAGACCTTTAAAGCTTATTATGGGATACCAAAGGCTTAATTCATCCCTGTGAGTAAAAGTGAAGTTGCCGAAATGCGTTCTCCTACCTGTTGAATTTTTTTTCTACTTCAACAGAGTTAGATTCAAAAGACCTGCCGAGTACCAAATGTCCGAAAACTACACAGTGGCAAATATGCTTTGGATTAAAGAAGGAAACCGTGAGTGCAATATCTTTATTTTAGAATAGATAATAAACGACCGTACTGCGCCCTGGAACTCTTGTTCTTGCAGACTAATAATACAGCTACCATGGCAGGTGAGCAAGGGCTTCCAATAATATCGTACTATCAATACCTTATTATTCATCAAAACTATACAAATATATTAATTAATTAACATCAATATTGCTACGTATCATATTTACATCCGTGAGTCATTTTGTACCTGAAGAACACCTAATATGCGCTAGGAAAATATGCACATAGGACACTGCTTTATCGTCTAAGAGCATGTCTTTTCTCAAGGCGTCGACGGCGTGTCTTTTCTGAAAGCGTCGTCTTTTTTAGCATGATAATTTTCTTTCTTTTATAGCCGTTTGTGTTCACGTGTGGACAGTATTTTTGGAATTGCAAACTATATATATTCACGTGTAAAAGTAAAAAAACTTTACGCGGTGCGGATTATCTTCGGGTGTGCACTATAGGAAGATGCGTTTTTTTTTTCTGAATCGTTTATTATGACGAGGCGTGATAAAGTTTGTAAATAATTAAACATGTCAATGATGATTTATGTATAACACAAGCTTCTTTGGGAACTTTTAAAGCGGGCGATTATATTCGTCAAAGTGCGTTGTGTATGCGAATTTTTCATTGTGGACTAGATACCAGGTGCGGACTATGTAAAAGAAAACTTATTTTCAACCGAAATTTGCTTCATGCGGACTTGACAGCGGGTACAGACTATAGTTTGGAGAATACGGCATTCTGCTGTCGTCATGGAACATCAAGCAATACCACTGCCGAGATGTTAAACTTTTATTTTATACTGATTTTTCCAAAATTCTTGGGTTATTTCGCATGCATTTCTACAATAGAAAAGTGTCACTAAAACTAAGTGTTGAAGCAGATAAGCTGCTAGTTATATCAAAATAATGTGATAACAAACACAAAAGCTTAGTGTCAATTCTGGTTTGGAAATATCGGTGAACGTACAAGTTAATCATATTTAAGCTTAAGATGCATGACAAAAGTTAGGTATTACTCTCAAGGAAAACAACGCTAATAATTTCTGCAGAGGGAGAAGAAGGGGGACGAAGCACAACTCTTCAAACACAGCTAGGTGACTGGTGCGCGATTGAAAATATCAGCCTGGTCCTGGTATCGAACTAGGGACCTCTTCATTTTCAGTGGGGCGCTCAACCAACTGAGCTAACCAGAGTTAGACTTCAATGGAGCAAACGGGTTTTAACAGCTGCCACCAGTCTAACACCAACAAGGGTGAACGGCTTGCACTTGAAGGTTATGATGATAATTCAATTAATGCGAAGGTGCAAGCTAGCTGGACAAGAATAACGATAGTCATCGCCGGAGAATGGGAACAAGAAGGAAGAAGCAGAAACACAAATCGTCAACCACAGCTAGGTGACTGTGTTTGTGTTTGTGCTTCGTTGCCCTTGTTCCCCCTCTCCAACGGTAATTATCGTTATTCTCGTCCAACTCGCTTGCACCTTTGCATTAATTGCATTATTATCGCTCTCAAGGAGGCCGTCTAAACTTTACTACGTGGTGGGTTATTCAAACTAAAAAATAAATGACTAACGAGAAAATAAGTTAGCAGTCTGCGAAGGTAACCGAGAATCACAGATTCTTTTTGTAAGCTTATTTTATTGATTAAAATTGTTGCTATTACAAAACCCAATTTTTTTTTATTTTTTTTACAGATCACAATACAACTAGGCGCTACACGTTGGCCTTTACCAACAATTCGACGTGCTCTGTTGTCAGGTCTGATCTGGGTAACGGTACGTAAAAACACCAGCATGGTAATGTTTACTTTTTTTAACTAATGCACGCAACTTTCTCGCACAAAATATCAAAGCATGTTAACAAAATATACCTGAATAAACTGGGAATCGGACAATTACGACGATGTTTTCCGCCCATGCAAATTTTTGCACTCTTGTTTTCTTTGTTAACCAGTATTCCCGGATGAAGACTATTTAACCGTCTTTTCTAGATCACTGTAATAACCTTTTACTTAAAATACGCCTCGAAAACTAATGGCTCTAAACTTTCTGAAAACGTGAAACACAGGCGTGTCAAAGCTGTCCGATTCAACGTACGAACTGCGGAAAAGATGGCTCTTCTGAATCGCCGCATGCAAGAGTTTTGGACATGTGCTTGCGTCGTTCCGCTCGTCTCCTCCTTTTCATCAGTTTCTACCCGTGAATGAATAAAGAAGGAGGTTTCAACGTGCATCTTTGCATTTTATTTAGAAAATTGTAGAGATGCAGAAATGTCAATTACCTACAATCATTCTCTTAAAACTAAGAGGGAAAAAGGCATATAGAACTTTTGTGTCATTTGTCGTATACTTAACACAAACGTGTTTTTAAGTGTGGGCTAATAAAAAAAAAAGAATTTGATAGTAAGGCCGATTTTCGTATCCTAGAAAGACATTACATCTAAAGATATTCCTTGATTTTTAATATTTTATTTATACGGAATGGTGACTAGATGCATGTTAAGCTTGTCTTTTTCTGCTTATTCAGGTTGTGAGGTATGGGTACCAGAATCGGCCCTTACCCAAGGGCCCAGCTCCTGCTGCAACTTTCTCTACCAGCTTCTTTGCGGAAAAGAAAAGTATCAAACGTATGAGTCCCCCTGCCTCACGGAAGAAACATCGAAGCCGTCACCGCCCGAGAGAGAATCTGATGAAGATTCCGATGAAGTTGACAAAAATGCACAAGGAAATTGAAAGAACACTGTTTTTGTTTTAAATAAAGTCTTAATTAAAAATATATTGTTCAGTGTCTACAATAAGCACACGAAGCAACTTCGTTAAGTTCACTATTCTCTTATACAGGCTGCTGTTTTTTTCTTTTTACGACTGATGGATGTGGGCGAATATTTCCGAAAGAAATGATATTCCTATAGTATACCTGGGTAGTGAATGCTTTGAATATAGTGGTTTTAAACTTCGCAACGGGAGAACAAAGTATGTTCTCTTTACGCGTCCTCTTTCCACTGAGGCGGCGATGAAGCGGAAAAAAACTCACTCTGCTGTCTTGGATAAGATATACGGATATACCGATCAAAGGACAGAGATGCAAGTTATAATATAAAGTAAGGCTTCCTCGCCAGTTGAATGACGCCTATCACAATAAAGCGCTCACGTGCTAGAGTGGAACACCCTGTACTGCGTCTAAGAGCATGAAAACAGTCAGTCATTTCTATCTACCAAATGAGCTTAACAAACGAATATGCAGAAAAAATAATGGCACGCAAAAATGTTGCCCTAAATGTGTCTGTGCATTAATGTTCCCACAGATCACTTCAATGCCTACGAGGACGTGGAAAAACAGTCCAACGAAAAAACTAAAATCTGTCATGGGACATGATCATGGGGCGTTTCGCATGATCACCTCATAATCAGCGATATATATCAGGCTTTTTTATGTGCTGCACATTCCTTTTTTTTTCCTCGTAATTTGCCGAGGTTCCTCAGTTGATCGCAGTGATTGGGTCATCATGTACTCTAGAGACTAGACTTAAGGCCCGTTCACACTGTGCAATTTCTAACGTTAAGTTACGTTACGAACTTTTAAGGTATATCTCACCGTTCTCAAGCACCTCGTAAAAGTTGGGGCCGTCTGTTTGACGTCAGCGCGCTGTACGTCGAACTGAAGTTTTGGGGTGTCGTATATAGGACAAGGGCTGTAAGAATGTACCCTTTCTTTTTAGAGTGCATATGCGTCTGAGTGTACTCGATTGTGCTATGCTCAATGTTAACCGCTAAGGACAAAAGAACAGACTGACAGATGTACTGGCGCCATCGTTCCGGCAGCAGTGGAGCTCGTCCGTTCTTTACATATCTACAGGGTGCATGAGTCAAAGCGATCGATGGCCGTTTGAAGGGACCGCATAAACCATTTCCCGAACGTATCAAGCTAAGGTTGTGCACAAAGGTTCAAGGGTATAAAATTTTGTTCAAGGAACTTACATTATTCAAAAATTAAAAACTTGAAATCCCTACATACGGCGGCCGTGTGCTAACTGAAGACGTGTGATTGGTGCAACAGCCGAGAGATGGCGGCAGTGTTTTCCGCGTCGACAGGGCCGGCGGCGAAGGCACCGAATACCAGATGTTTTCGTGTCAGCTTCGGTGATTACACTATTGATGTCGGTGGTATGTTTTGGAGAGTTTCGTCCTTTTTGAGGCGCCTTACCCAGAGTAGGATTGTCAGAGAGCTTAGATGTCAACGCCGAAACGCCACCCCTAAATGTCGGCGGGCCTCTTTTGTTCTTTGTCAATCCCCGTGCCCAAATAAAACTCCATTCACTCGTTAGTAGCTAAGCGCATCATGAAGATTATTTACACTCCAAAACTGCAGGTATGAAAGTTGCAGACAAGAAGAAAGACCTGGTAACAATCAGAGAGTGCAAAGCAGACGACGACGTCTATCCTATAATAAATGTCGAAAAAACGAGACAGAACATCTGTTTTGTTTTTATCGCTTTGTCTACATATTTGTATGTTTTGTTGGTAGATTAAAATAATCGTGCAATGACAATTCGCGCGCAAAAAAAAAAAAAAAGATTGCATCGCTTTTGGCTTAGTAACGTCGTCCGCTATTGCCGAAGTCGAGGGAAGCACCCGTTGTGGCCGTTTGTATAAAGCGCACAACGGGTTGATGCACACTCAAACGCGAATGTGTGAACTAATATGCGATGTTCAGGTTCAGGAAATATTATTTCGTCGAAATATTTTTTTGGTCCTTTGATTCACTAAGCTCTTTCCATGGATCACACTGAAGCGTGTTATGAAAAACTGGGAGTTTTAGGAACTGTGTCGGTTAACACTTCAATTACGAACAAAGCGACAGTGACGTCGCATCGCGAGCCTATTTGCAAAGGGGCATTCGTTTGATGGCACGTTGCAGCAACGTATCGTTGGTGCTCCCAGTAAACCGTTCCTAGGGTCGTTGTTGAGGAGGAATAGAAGGGTCTGGATTTTGTTCAAAATGAGCAATCAATCAAAAACTACAAGTGAGATTCAGACATTGAAAATTAATAGATATAAAAAACTCAATACGAATCCAGGCAGAAGATGGTACGAAGTAGGGCAGTAGGGCGCAGACTTCTTCACGGGGGAGTTTTAAAGTAAGGGTTTTGCGAGGGAGTGCATTGCTAACAATGTTACTGAACCGTCGTGCGACTTTGACGAAGGCACTTCTACTTTTTCCGACCTTCAACATCTTGGTTGGGATTCCACCAGTGCGCTCTTCAAAACAATAAATGTTGGTAGTTGAAAGAGATGCAGGTGTAGTTCCTTGTTTTGTTTGCTTGCTCTTCGCACGCTTCGCAATTATGCTCTTCAGTTTACTTTGTAAGTTTTAAGTTCCCGCTCTTTCTAAATAGCACCTGTCACAACTCACCTATTCACAGATTTGTCGTGAGATGGCGCCAGCGTCCTTGGGCAGAACAGGAACGCACACGCTGGAAACCTCAATGGCTATCAAGGTCAACAGGAAGGACATAAACTGGGAACGTCTGAAAGGCATGGTTTAGGTTTTTGACATCCCAGCATGAAGCGCACTCGGCCTATAATATGGACACCAAAACTCTACATTCTACTATGAATTACATGCTGATGTCACACACAATGTCTAGAAACTTATATATTATGAAACAAGCGATTACGTTGGAAGAGACTAGATAGTTATAACAGATATATTAATATGAGAATTACTGGATAATGAAATGCACGAGCAGGACTAGTGAAATACGGAACAAAGTGGTATGGAACTTTAACAAACTAAAGAAGTTGTAAATAACTGAAAGACAGTGAGTGTGCAGGCGAGCTGGTGATAGTTAATCATATTGTGTAACACCCGAGACTAGTCATTTCTGCTCCTGGCTATTTTTCTTCGCCTTCAAAGTTTACTTGTTTTTTTCCTTCACCACAGCATCGGTTTTTACACGCTATAGTGTAAATAACTGTTAAGCTAGCAGAGGAGTTGAAGAAGACATTCCTGGAGACATGCAAATACAATGGCCCCACACAATTCTATCTCAGCTATTTCAGCTAGAACTTGCCGAAGTTTCAATTGAACGCATTTAGAAGCAACAATACAGACCAAAGAGCAGGTGGGATAGCGAGGTGCGTGAGGCAGTAAATACACGTCAACAGGTTTCTAGAGAACACAGTTATTATAAGCGTAATGTACACCTAAGAGTAAATATGATATAGAAATAAAGCAAAAGAAATAGAGAGAGGACGGTGGGATGAAAGCATGAAGAGGAAAATCGCTTTAAATATATACGTCACAAAAAATATTCGAAAATTTTAGTCGAATTGTTTTATCAATTCAGATTAGGATGGGAGAGTTTAAAACCAGAGCGTAGACTGGAAGACACTGTTAGCGCGAACACGGCATCCGCACTTTTTTTATTTTATTTAAAAATAATATTGACGGTCAGCAAAATGTACCGCTTAGGTTACTGCCCTCAATGGGGACTTTTGACCACTCTAGAAGTTCTTACGGCCGTCATTCAATTTTAAGAGAAAAACAAGGAAAACCGGCGATCGCTTTTTCGCACTAACAGTATTGCAAAGTATACATAGCAAAATACCAGAAAATTGTCATGGCCATGCTTCATTTTTGGGAGCGAATAAAAACGAAACTAACTTTCACCGAGTGTTAAAAGTCCTGTCTTTTCAGTTGCTGCAGAAACTAGAAGAACGCGCTACTTCACACTCTGCGAATATCAGAGTGTGACCCCGACCAATTTTAGCCAATATCTATGTATTGTTTCACGGTTCCCATGAAGCATACACTGAAGGGCAAAGTGGAAATACAGCGCTGCGGATATACTGGACGTTTAATCGGCAACACAGAGGAAAGTGCAGTACGTCAATATTCTAGATTTGTAGGTCTTTATTGTTTTCTGCTTTTTCTTCATTGCATCGCCATCTGCTTTATCGGGATCTACGTCGTCAACCAGTGCTAAAAGAGTACTATCGCATTGAAGTTCACTGGGATTTGCGACCTGGAAGACCGAGCGGCTAAACCTTCTGCCTGACACTTGCAGGTGAGAATTCCGGCCTATCATCTGATTACCAAAATTGTAACATAAGGCTTGAAACCCCAAAGTATTGTGGTATTGGTGTAGACCTGTCTGCTTACCGCGCTCGTATAGGATATTTCCTCTACGTTCGCTCTCATGAAGCAATCGAAAGCTATCTTTTTTTTCCGCGGGCTTTAGCATTCGTCCCCTACAGAGCCCACGTTTTGTTGCTTGTTTTCTGTTTGTACGACGTCTTGATCCTTGCCGGAGGTGTAGAGCAGAATCCTGGTCCCGGAGGCTTTGAAAAACTTCAGCCAACACTCGACAAACTTGAGAAAACGCAACTAAGTTTTCTAGTATTGCAGAGGGAGTTAAAAAAAAAAAAAACTTAATGAGAGAGTGACACATCTTGTATACAAATGTTGAAAACCTGACACGAGTTTAAGAGACGTTGTCGGTATCCAAGGACAAATGACCTCGCTAGAGAATGAGGTCCAGTCAATTGCTGTAACCTGTAAATATCTCAACAGCCTACCAACCAGCTTGGAAGCGCTTGATAATGTCAGCGCCGGAATAGCCTAATATTTAAGGGTATTCCTGAGGAAGACGGTGAATCTTGAAACAGATCCGAGCAATTTGTGACTGAATTTATTAAATTTGACCTCTGCATAGAGGTGGGCGAAATCG